GGATTTTTCTATTTAATAATAATAGCTTAATAATTTCCATGTATGTGTTGTGTGTACCTTGTGACTGCGCTGTTTATATTAGGAATGCTGTCGGATGGATGTGGGATGAGTTTATATGGACGAACAATACTTATTTGTTCCTTTACTTGTTATTGTTATTATTTATAGCATTTTATTGTTGCTGTTGTTACTATTGTCATCATCATTATCATTAATCACGGTTATTATTATTTTAATTATTGATAATAGTATCATTATTTATTATTATTATTATTATCATTATTATTATCATTATTATTATTATTGTGGTTATCGTTAACGTTGTTATTATTATTATTATTATTATTATTATAAATAGTAGTAGTAGTAGAAGTAGTAGTAGTAGTAGGACTGTTATTGTTATCGTTGTTGCTATTATATTGATAATGATGATGATTATTATTATTATTATTATTATTGTTATTATTATTATTGATATTGTTATTATTATTATTATTATTATTATTATTATTATTATTATTATTATTATTAATATTATTATTATTATTGTTATTATCATTATTATTATTATTATTATTATTATTATTATTATTATTATTATCATCATTATTATTATTATTATTGGTGCTTGTTCCTACCGTTATCAGGCCTATTTTTCAAAAAAGTGTTGTTGTTACTGTTGTTATTTCTATTACCATTTTTATGATAATCATCATCATCATCATCGTGATCACCATCGCCATCAAACAAACGCCTAATTCAACCCTCGTCTCTTTTCAGGTAAACATTCCTTTGTGAAGGAGAGTTCATGCAAGGAAACGTATGAGAAAGGTAACTCATAACTCGTCTTTCTATGTATAGCCTAACGTAAGGATGTTCAAGAAGACAGTGAGGAAAAGATGGTTAGTTAAGACATAGAGTCTGGTTAAGAGGGGAGCGTGTTGGTTAGGGAGTGGGAGAATAAATGGGGGGAAAGGGAAAAAAGGAGAGAGAGTGAGTGAATGGGTGAGTGAGTGAGTAAGTAAGGGAGTGAGGGAAGGGGAAGAAGGGAGAGGTGATTAAGTAGCTAAGGGAGTGAGTGAGTTAGTGAATGAGGGAGAGAGGGAGGGAGGGAGGTAGTGAGTGGGTGAGTGAGTGAGGGAAAGAGGGAGGGAGGGAGGTAGTGAGTGAGTGAAGGAGGGAGGGAGAGAGGGAGTGAAGGAGGGAGAGAGAGAGGGAGGGAGGGAGGTAGTGAGGGAGTAAAGGAGGAAGGGAGAGAGGGAGGGAGGGAAGAAGGGTTTTAGGGATGAGTGAGTGAGGGATTGAGTAAATGAGTAAGGGAGTGAGTGAGTGACTGACTGACTGTCTGATTGAGTGAATGATTGAGGGAGTGAGTAAGAGAGTAAGGGAGTGAGGGGGCTTATGAGAGACAGGCAGAAACAAAGATAGAACGAGAGAGAGTTTGAGAGAGAGACAGAGAGACAGAGAGACAGAGAGACAGAGAGACAGAGAGACAGAGACCAAATTACGGAATAAAGAGATAGGCGAGCTTAGTCTTGTCCTCATAAAGGCCAGATTTAAGCGTGGCAGTTGAATGGACTTATCGCAACAGTTATTTCGTCCCGGAAGTGGATAATAGGGCCAATAAAGAAAAAAAATGTCGGTGGGTGGAACCAAAAGGCGAATTTGATGGCACTGATTGCATTTTGCGTGCGGTGCCTGAGGGGAGGAGGGAGGAGGGTGGAAGGGGTAGGTGGAGGTGGAAGAAGGGGGTAGGGGAGTGAATGGGAGGTGGAGGTGGAAGGAGAGGGAGGAGAGAGAACGGGAGGTGGAAGTGGAAGAAGGGGGGAGGAGAGAAAACGGGAGGTGGAAGGGAAAGCAGGTGAGAGAGGAAAGAACGGGAGTTGGAGATGAAGAAGGAGAGGGAACGGGAGTTAGGAAGGGGTGGAAGAAAAATCAGGAAGAGGAATAGAACAATAAGGAAAGGTGTGAAAGATAATAAAAAAATGAATGAAAAGATGCAAAGGCAATGATAGGTATATATATATATATATATATATATATATATATATATATATATATATATATATATATATATATATATATATATATATATATATATATATATATATATATATATATATATATATATATATATATATATATATATATATATATATATATATATATAAACATATATACATATATGCATATATACATATACACACACATGTATAAATAGATAGATATAAGCATATAGGTCCATAGGTAGACAGATAGATAGATAGATGAATAAGTAAAGATATGATGATAAGAAAATGGTGAGGATGAGAAAAAGGAAGGCTTATCCTCGAGTTACGTAAGGAAAGGAAAAAGAAAAAAAAGATAAGGAAAAGTAGGTAGCGAACCGGCATGAAAGCTCAGTCGACACGTGGAAGGACGAAGGGAGGGAAAGAGGGAGGGAGGGGAGGAGGGTAGGAGGGAAGGAATGAAAGAAAGACAGAAAGAAAGAAAGAAAGAAAGAAAGAAAGAAGGAATGAAGGAAGGGAGAGAAAGGGGGAGGTAGGGAGGAATGGAAGGAGGGAGGTAGGTAGGTAGGGAAGGAAGGAAAAAGGGAAGGAAAGAAAGAGGGAAGGAGGAAGGGAGGGAAGGAAAGAGGGAGGGAAGGAGGGAGGGAGGGAGGAGCAAGCCGAGGAAAGACGAGCAGACAAGGATGTGGACGAGTCGGACACGTGAGTTGGCGTGCTTGAAGACCAAAATGTAAACAAGGATTCGCAGATGAACGACCGGCTTGGAGAACAGCTGACACGGGGGGAAGGGGACAGAAGGGGAGGGGGAGGTAGAGAGGGTGGGATGGGGTGGAGAATGTGGAGGGGTGTGGAGTGTGGAAGGGTGTGGAAATTGTGGAGGGGTGCCGAGTGAGGGAGAATGTGGAGAAAGTGAAAGGGTGTGAAAATAGTGGAGGGTGTGGAGAAGGTAGAAGGGTCTGAAAAGGGGGGGGGGGGATTTGGGAGTGAGGAGTCGGGAGAAAATAGGATAGGATGGAGGGAAAGTGTTGACTGGGGGATATGGTAAGGGAGGGAGGCGGTGAAGTGAGGAGACGGGGAGAAATTGACTGTTTGGGGGAGATTCGTCGTCGTGTGCTGCGCTGCCATAACATATTTCGCCTCAAGTCTTGCCTTTCGGATGCTGCGCCGTTGAGGAGGAGGCTGAGAGGGCGAGCAAATGGCCAGACGGCTGGAGATAAAAATCGGGGGCGAAGAGGGGAGGAAATGGAGGATGGGGGAGGGAGAGAAAGGGGTAAGGGAGATGGGACGTGGATGAGGGGAAGGGGGGGATTAGGAAGAGGATGGAGTAGGGAGTGGGAGGGAGGGAGGGAGGAGAGGGAAAGGGAGGGGGGGGGAGATGGGAAGAGGATGAAGAAGGGAATGGGAAGAAATGAGGGGAGGAAAAGGGAGGTGGGGGGGGGGGAGATGGGAAGAGGATGAAGTAGGGAATTGGAAGGAAGGAGGGGAGGGGAAGAGGATGAGGCAAGGAGAAGGGGAAATGGAAGAGGGGAAAGGATGGACCAAAGGTATGGGGAAGAGTTAGACAAGGAAAATGGGGTAGGGAGAGGGGAGAGGATAGGAAAGGAAGAGGAAAAGAAGGGGGAAGTTGAGGCGAGGGTGTCAAGATGCAACTATGGTCAAGATGTGTCGTTCGGTCATTAAGAGGGGGGGTGTTGGAAGAGGCAATTATTTTTGGGGTAAGATAGGAACAAAGAGGAAAATAAGGCGAATGGAGAGAAAGGATAAGACGAGGGAGGTAAAGCGAGAGATGGGAAGAGAGTAGAAGGGCAGAGTGAATGAATGGGATTGTGAGTTATGAAGAGAAAGAGAAAGAAAGAAAGGGAAAGAGAGAAAGAGAAAGAGAAATGGAAAGGGAAAGGTAGAGAGAGAGAATGAGAAAAAGAAAGAGAAAGATAAGGATAGAGAGACAAAGAGAAAGGGAAAGGGAAAGAGTGAGAGAAAAAAAGAGAAGAGAGAAAGAGAATGAGAAAAAGGGGGAGAGAGAGAGATAGAGAGACAGACAGAAAGCCAGAGAATGTAAACGCCGAGGATATAAACATTAGTGTGATAATAAACGAAACTAACAGCAACAGAAACCCGCCCATAAACCCATTCAGAAAACTCCCATAGAGCATAAGTTAAGATGCGGCCAGATGGAGGGAAGAGACAGAATGTTATGGGAGGGTTGAGTGGATAAAGGAGGGGGAGGAAGAAGAGGGAGATAAGAGGGGGAGGAAGAAGAGGGAGATAAGATGGGGAGGAAGAAGAGGGAGATAAGAGGGGGAGGAAGAAGAGGGAGATAAGAGGGGGAGGAAGAAGAGGGAGATAAGATGGGGAGGAAGAAGAGGGAGATAAGAGGGGGAGGAAGAAGAGGGAGGTGGAGGGGATGGGGGAGGGGAGTAGTGTCGGAAAGGGTAAAGGAGCAGGGAAGAGTGGAAAAGGAGGGAAGAAGA